GCGTTTGCCCTGCCCGGACTTTCACCCATGAGAGACCTTCCCCACCCCTGCATGGCTTGTGCTTGGGCTGGAGACTGGGGCAGCAGCACACGGCACCTACAGAAGAGCGATGCGGCCAGGCTGATGAGCAACCAGCTGGCATCATAAGTCCCAGCCTGTCAATTTGGGAGGGGGCCCTCCGGCCCTGATTTGAGTGGGCCTTGATGCTAACTGGGTGGGCCATAGTCCCAGGGCTGTAAGAAGGGCGAGGCAAGTGAGGCACTTGCCTCGGGCGCATAGCTGAGAGGGTGCAGAAAAATAATATGGAAAAATAATTATTTTAAGACAGCGCCGCTTCCCTCCCCCACCCATTAGCATCGGCCAGCCCACAATTTACACGTCAAGCTGCATGTTGCCGCTCCGCGATCCAACAGTCACCAGCCCTGGCAGCTGCCCAGTGCATCAGCTGCTTCCAAGGGGAGGCTGGGCACTGGCTCAGCCATACCAAGCGCCACCTTAAGGTGCCCTAGCGCAGTTCCCAGGTGCAGAGCCAGGGGAGAAGGGGCTCACATTGCCTTGCACAAGGGCAGAGGTGCAGGGGGTAAGGTGGGGGTGTCAGGCTGGGAGCCAGGACTCCTGGGTCTTGTCTCACCTCTGCTAGGGGAGTGGCTCTAGGTCTTAGGGGTGTGTGATTAGAGCTGGGGGTCTGGGAGCTACCATACCTGGGTTCTATGGGTCAGGGTAGAGAATAATATTAATTTCAACACAATTATTGATGAGTTTGCCTCATTTAAATAACCGTTGTGGTGGTGGTGTTATTGTTGTTTTATTTATGTATTTTCTCTTTTTCTGTGAAATAACTACTATGAATATATACGCATGAGGAGACGCAATTTTATATTCCTGCCTCAGGTGCAAAATTAGCTAGTTATGGCACTGCATAGCCCACTCAGGCTCACCTGTAGCTACACCCTGATCAGGACAGAGACCCCTTCCTTCTATATTGTTTCCTAGCTGTCTATTGCTTCTGGGTGAAAGAATTAGGAACAAACTTAGGAAATACAAACTTGCAGAATTTCCACTGTCAGCGTGATTTAGTCCTGTGCATGGTAGTGTTAGATCTTGGGGAAATTTTTGTGTGAGAGCAGCATATAATTTACCTTGCAAACATATAGCATGAGTAAATACCCTTACATAGGTTTGGATTCATGTTTAATTTTTATTTTTCCAATGGTCAGTTTGGTGTACTCTCAGTGCCACTAGGCTAGCAGGTATGAGATCTGGCTCTGCAATATTGCAGGCAAATATTAATTTCTGGATGGTCTCCTCGACAAATTAAAAAAAAAATGTGTGGAGGCAAAGATAGGATCATGCTTTACTTCCTTCACTACTATTTTCCAGGCCGATAGTGATAGGCATACTTAAAAATATTGACTAAGTCCTTGTCAGTTGGGGCTGTTAATATTATTGATTCATTATTTATGCAACTTGCTTTTTATGCATAGAAAAATAGTTTTTAATGCTATGATATTTCATTTATTTTATTGTAAAGAATTTCCCCGTTAAAAATATTGATATTTAGTTGTATTTTGCCATTTAAACCATAGTAAACCTAACAAGTACAAAGACAAGTGGCTATATTTGTTATGGATATTTGACCCTATACATGGAGATCTATTGTTATGAATGAAAGTGTACATGCAGCCCATACAATTTGCATTCAGGATAATTAGCTTGAAAATTCTTGGATATTAATTATTTAATTGGTAAGTTTTTATGGTTTTTATGGTAGGAGGCCCAGTCTTTATGAAGAAGTTAAAATGCTATAGTACTATTGAATCGAGGGCAAGGTTTTGAAGTTACCACGATCCTATGTAAAACGATTTGGTAAAAACTAATCCTATTTAAAAAATCCTAAACTACTTTTGTCATGGCCAAAACTCTTCATAAAAATACATTTTTTGTGGCACCTGATTCATGTTGAACAAGAAGAACCTATCAAGCTTGTGCCGAGACACACACAATGCAGATAAAACACACTGCTTAGAGAAATGCAAAACAATAGGTCTTTAATTCTTAGTAGTTTGATGCGCGACATATTTTCAAATAAAACTAACATAATACCTTTGCTTTTAGACTCAAGTATAGTGGAATCTGGGTCTTATTCCTTCCTAATTACTTCTACTTGACTCGTTTAATCTTGGGTGATTATTCAATCATATCTAAACTGAGAAAATAACAGGAGTAGAATTTCCATCTCTTGTTCTGAGAGCTTATAAACGTTAACAGAACTGTCACAGGAAAAAAATAAATGTAAATCACTGTTGACAGTGCCTTATTTTTATATATTAAAAGAAATCCCCATTTTGTGATGGAAGCAGCTCAAGTTTCTAAGTACAGAGCTTGTCAAGTCTTCTGGGTGATTTAATTATTAAAGTTGAAAATCTGTCATTTGGAACAAATATTTCATAAAGGAAAGTTGTGCAGCAGCTCAGCAGCTGGTTTGTTTACTTGCACCTGAGCCGAGCATGAATTCAGGCCAAGAAATGGCACACCGGAAATCTCTGTACTCAAAGAATGTCTGTCATTGATTTCATCACTCAGCAAGATAACTTGCTAGAGACCATATCTGCCTCTCTGCTGAAGGGTAGAATGATTGGCATGTTTTGAGTCACAATTAAAGTGCCCAGGTGGCTAGCTGCATGCTCATATGAGATGGATTGTGTCATAGCCATGAATACAATATATTTGATTTGCAAGTTTGCTATAAGTCATATTATATACTCAAATCAAAATCCAGTTGTTTCAGAAACTAGATTAAATATGGGTGATATCCCTATAACCGAGTCTGATTAAGGGGCACATGTAACTATGCTCTCACTGAAGCATAGAAGAAATGAGATTCTCAGCATAGAGCTGGCTAGCATTTTTCTGAACTTTTTTTTTTTAAATAGGCTGGCTGACAAAACCAGAAATTTTCATGAGAGAATTTCTGTTTTTATCAGCATTTTTTGGGCTTTACTCAGAAAAGAAACGCTGAAAATCAATTTTAGTCTTCAACAAAAGAAATAAAAAATTTCATTTTCAGACTTTCTATGGAAACCTGACAAATTCTGTGGACATTTTTTACTTTTTTTTTCTTTAAAAAGTTTTCAGGAAATACATCTTTTTGACCTCCTGAAACAGTGATATCATCATTTCTTGTGCTCCAGGGAGAGTATCCTTTGTGCCAGCCCTTTTACTGGCGCACATTACTTTTCCCAGCCCTTGGTGAGGCTCAGGTGTATTGTCTGATACCTTAGTGGGGTGGAGACAAGGCTGCCCAGACAATCTTGCCTGTTTCCTAACCACCTTTTTAGGAAGGCAAATAGCAAACCCAGTGGCAGCTGTTTCTCTTCTCCTCTCTCCCCTTCCCTCTTCCAGTGTAGTTTAGAAGAAAGGATTCTCCTAACACTTGTGTTTCCCTGCAAAGGTATGCAGTAAGCCTCATGACTGACCTCTTTATAGTTTTGTTGTGCAACTGAGTGCTGAATTCGCCTCTTTCTCCAGAATCATTTTATAAATAAATGTTACTTTCTATTCTAGTCCTCAAGTTGTGAAGAAATCCTTCCAAATGTGAGCCTAATGTAATGAATGCAGTGTGGTCTTTCTGGGAGATAATTGCATAGTTTCAGAACCCTCTGCAGAGAGAGCGAGCACAGCTTCCTTCCAAAGTTTTTTATAAGAATTATTACCAATTGCTGGCCAGGTTAGAAAATGCTGTATTAGCATTGATTGTCCTGAGGGAATCATTCCCAGTGCCAGATAGAAAACACATGTCTCAAACAAAGCAAAATAATGAAAAATGTGTGTAATGTACTTTGTGTATGCTTGGTTGACATTTCTGTTTAACATGCAAATCTAATGTGCAAATACCCAAACTATACTTCTCTCTGTTCCGTTAACCACTCACCCCATAATTGTACCTAGTTGTGGTTCCTAAAGAAAAAGGTGACCAGTTTCATGCTATGAAGTAAAAAGGAACAATTAATTAACAATAAACAATTTTACACATGAATCTCTGGAAATCTTAACCCTGTGTAAACATTGACTTGAAATCTTTCTTGGAAAGGGAGGTTTTCTTTGTTTTATTATTATTTTATTTTATTATCATGATGAATCAATGTTCCATAGAAATTAGCACCATTTGTGCTTCTTATGTTAAGAAATATATGGATGAAAAGAATTTGAGTATGTTTGGCCTCAGGAGTACACATGCACTTAATATCATAAAAGGCCGTATTGATAGCAGTAAAGGCATAAGAACTAGTAAGTAATAGAAAGCAGACGGGGTTCGTGGCTACAGCAGGAAAAACATCTGGGCCCTTGAGCATATTGTAAATATGGGAGATAAATGAGAACTGATTTCCAGAAATCATACTAAACTTGTTTTGTTTTCTTTCAATTTTTCTTATACCTTATGCTTTAGAAAAGCTCCAGAAAAAAACATGCATACCTTACAAAGATCACAGTCCTCCTCATTTATTATTTAATTGTTCTTTGTCTCTGTTGTAATTCATGTAGTCATGATGCTATAGATATATGGGCCTGTGTCTCCATTACCTCAGTTTTACAGCATTATAAACCCAGTGAAGTCAATAAGTCATGCCAATGTAAAGCAGGAATCATGCTGCTTAAAGCTGGTCTAACAGAGTGGGGAATGGTTCAATGGGTTTTTAAGAATTGAAGATAATGAAACTCATCCTGAAAAGCGGCAGACACCTTAGATTCTTTGCATGAAGCCACAAATAGCTCAGTCCCAGCATGAAATCCTTCTGGGGGCCATGAAGATACTTTGTGGCCCATATTTTGAGCATCACCGCTGTAATGGAACAGTCATTTCTCACAATTGTTTATAAAAGAACCCTTCTCACTCAGTTTTCTCCTCTAACTCCTTGGCCTTTCTTTATTATCACTGCCCAATGTCTTTGTGATAATGTTCCTGTGACTATGGTTTTTCCTTCTTATCTCTTGTGCTTCAGTTGCGATCAAGCTCAGAGCTTGACCAGGACATCCTCAGTGACTGCCTCACTATCCAGCCTCTCCAACCAGCTCCTTCGCCACTTGATGCTACAGACAATACCATGGGACGATCACCAGGGCCCGTTCATGACATCTACACAGGTATAGTCAAAAGACAGGAAATTATCCCAAAACATTGACTTAGGTATGCTTGATGCATACTTTTGAGACTTCATGTGTTGAAAACTCTCTAAAATCATTCTCTTTTGCTTTCTAAATTCCTCCTGAGAAGGACAAAACAATGTACAGTATATTAGAAAGGTATGTCTCTGTCTGATATTTAAAACTTTTGTCTCATTTTGCTCATGGAAAAACATAGAACAGTAAGGAATATGTTTACTCTTTGGGGATTGGACTCTTGCCGGAGGTATCTTAAGTTCATTAAACTTGATTTAGAATGTTTCCCCCTTTTCTATTTATGGGCTACATATAAGTTTTCTAATAAAAGTATATAAATATGGTTAAATGCAGCATTTTGTTAGAAGGTATATAATAAACCTTTGTCCTACTGGTAAATATAAACCCATCAAGAAACATATCTATATTGATGTGATAATAAGCCCTTTCATAGTCACAATTCAGTGTTTAGGAATTTCACTCTCCAATAAATGATTGATGTTGGTTTGCACTGATTACAGCTGTTCAATTTTCAGCAAACATTGAATTATTAAGAAAATAAAGGTGACAGTATTTTTAAAAAAAAAGATGACATTTTTAGTCCTTAGTATGCAGTGTCTAGATAACTGCAAAGAAACCTATTTTTCAATGTTAGCTAAAATACAGTCTTCATTCTCACTTAGCTGAGAGTCTAATTGAAAACCTCACCAGCAAGTCCAAGAGTTAGCTGATTCTTACAGTAGCCACTTTTTTATACACTCAGACTATATAGTAATTTCATTTTGCTGTAAGATATGCAAACATGGCAGTTCTCAGATTGTTTTTGTCAGGGCTGTCATAGCACTATAGAATACTTCATAGTTTTTCTCATTTGTGTCTGATGTGTAATGTTATGCTTGAGATTTGCATGAAGAAATGTCAGGAATTGAAAGTTGTGGTTCTCACAGTGACTACAACTCAGACCCTTTTCATGTAAGAAATATTTTGTCTTACTGCATATGATGTTAATTTTTAATGCCTTAATCCACAGCGTTGTTCAATCAGTGTGTGAAGGGGAATGTCAAAAGTTAGTTACATTTGTGTGCATGGAATCTCTACTATAATTACTTTAGAAACATAGTTTTGTGTATAGTTGTGTACATTTAATTCTCTTTTGTTTTAATTATCTTTGAGGAGGGGATAGGTACTGAAGAAGTTTCAATAAAACACTTGATCTGTAGGACTTTGGTTCACCTGAATACAAACATAAACTTTTTTTCAGGAAAACAAAAGATTTGGTTATTCCTCCCCTCTCCAAAGTATCTTTCATGGGTGACTTACTGTCTTCAAGGACAGATAGGGCCAAAGTTCCAGAAGAGCTCAGAACATTCTCAGCAAATGTCTCAGTGGAAGCTGCTGAGACTTTTACAAATCTGGCTCATAACGTGTTGTGGAACTTTTCAATTCTAAAAAGTCTCAGAGGGGAAGCCCTGTGGCACCTTAGAGACTAACATAAGAACGGCCATACTAGATCAGGCCAAAGGTCCATCTAGCCTAGTATCCTGTCTTCCGACAGTGGCCAATTCCAGATGCCCCAGAGGGAGTGAACAGAACAGGTAATCATCAAATGATCCCTCTCCTGTCACCCATTTCCAGCCTCTAATTAACAGAGGTTAAGGACACCATTCCTGCCCATTCTGGCTAATAAGTGTTAGTGGACCTATCCTCTATGAATGTATCTAGTTCTTTTTTGAACCCTGTTAAAGTCCTGGTCTTAACAACATCCTCTGGGAAGGAGTTCCACAGGTTGTGCGCTGAGTGAAGAAAAACTTCCTTTTGTTTGTTTTAAACCTGCTACCAATTAATTTCATTTGGTGACCCCTAGTTCTTGTGTTATGGGAACAAATAAATAACTTTTCCTTATTCACTTTCTCCATACCTGTCATGATTTTATAGACCCCTATCATATCACCCCTTGGTCTCCTCTTTTCTAAGCTGAAAAATCCCAGCTTTTTTAATTTTTCTTGACATGGCACCCATTCCAAACCTCTAATCATTTTTGTTGCCCTTTTCTGAACTTTTCCAATGCCAATATGTCTTTTTGAGATGAGGTGACCACATTTTCATGCAGTGTTCAAGATGTGGCTGTACTATAGATTTATATAGAGGCAGTACAATATTTTCTGTCTTATTCTCTATCCATTTTTTAATGATTCCTAATATTCTGTTTGCTTTTTTGAGTTTTGCTGCACATTGAGTAGAGGTTTTCAGAGAACTATCCACAATGACTCCAAGATTTCTTTCTTGAGTAGTTGTAGCTAAATTAGTCCCCATCATTTTGTCTGTATAATTGGGATTATTTTTTCCAATGTGCATTACTTTGCATTTACCAACATTGAAAATCATTTGCCATTGTGTTGCCCAATCACCTAGTTTAGTGAGATCCTCTTGAAGCAATTCTAACACATATATATTGTATCATGTGCTTTTGTGGGTAAGACCGACTTCATCAGATGAATAGGAATGGAAATAACAGAATCCAAGATACATATAACAGCAGAAGAAGTACCTATCAATTTTATGACCCATGTTAATGAAGTTAATTAAGTGGGCTGGATATTTCCCATTCATAGCTTTTTATATGAAAATGTGGATGTTAAAGGCAGTGGAAATTGGCTTTGTAACGTATTAACCAGTTAATGTCTTTATTCAAGACCAGGGTAACAGTTTTAAATTTGTAAATGAATTCCAGTTCTAGTCTATCTTTTAGATGTGTGGTGAAATTCTTTGTAGAAGAAATGGTTGCTTTTAAATTCATGATTTGAGTGATCATGTAAGTTAAAATGTCCCCCTACAGGTTTATGTGTGTTACCATTTCTAATATCTGATTTGTGTCCATTTATCCTTTGGCACAGAGATTGTCCGGTTTGGCCAATATATATGGCAGAGGGGCATTGCTGGCACTGGATGGCATATATCACATTAGTAGATGTACAGATGAATGAGCCCCTTATGTTGTGGCTAATGTGGTTAGGTCCTGTGATTATATTGCTAGTATACAAATGTGGACAACAGGGTTGGCAACGGGGTTTGTTACAGGGCTAGGTCCCTGGATGAGTATCGGAGGTGTGATATGTGTGGCTGCTGGAAAGGATTTGCTTCAGGTTGTGGGATTGTCTGTAGGCAAGAACTGGACTTTCTCCCAAAGCCTGTGAGAGAGAGAGATTGTTTTCCGGAACAGGTTGTAGATTGTCAGTAATGTACTGGAGGGGTTTACAGTTGTGGCTGTAGGTGATAACAAGTAGTGTTCTGTTATTTTTCTTGTTGAGCCTGTCTTGAAGTAGTTGACTTCTGGGTACTTGTCTGGCTCTGTTTCCTCACTTCCCCAGGTGGGCATATAAGTTTTAAGAATTCTTGATAAAGATCTTGTAGGTATTTGTCTCTGTCTTTGGGATTGGTGCAAATATGGTTGTATTTTAGGGCTTAGCTGTAGACAGTGGATTATGTGATGTGTTCTTGATGGAAACTAGAGGCATATAGGTAACAATAGCGGTCAATAGGTTTCCAGTATAAGGTGGTGTTAATGTGGCCATCATTTATTTGTACTATAGTGTCCAGGAAGTGGATCTCTTGTGTGCATTGGTACCAATTATGTGGAATGTTGGTGTAAAGAGCTTACACATCCATGCTGGCTAGGAGGGTGTTTTTAGGAAAATTATCGATGTTCTGTAGTTTCCTCAGGAAGTCAGTGATGTTTCAAAGATAGCGAGGAGTGCTAGTAGCACAGGATCTGAGGAAAGAGTCAGCATAGCCAGATAATCCCACTGTAAGGGTGCCAGAGATGATCGGATGTCCGGGATTTCCAGGTTTATGGATTTTGGGTAGCAGATAAAATTCTCCTGGTCAGGACTCTGAGGGTGTGTTTGTGAAGATTTGGTCCTGAGCTATAGCAGAGAGTTTCTTGAGCAGATGTTGTCCTTTGGTGTTCCTCAGTGGGATCAGAGGAAAGAGGCTTGTGGAATGCGGTATTGGTGAGTTGTCTGGCAGCCTCCTATTCATAATCTGACCTATTCATGATGGCCACAGAACCCCCTTTGTCAGCCTCTTTGATTATAATGCTAGAGTTGGTTTTGAGGCTGTGGATAGCATTGCATTTGGCATGGTTGAGATTATGTCACACGATGGTGTTTGTTCACAATGTCAGCTTGTGCACTTTTGTGGAAGCAATCTATGTTGAAGTCCAGATTGTCATTTCAACCATCAGGAAGGATACATGCAGTGTTCCCTCTAAGCTGAGCGCTTGTGCAGGTGCCCAGGAGAGGTTCAACTGCCACCCAGCTGATTAGCCCAGCACCCATAGTGCCTAGAGCCAGCAGTGTGTGTTTCTACTGGCGGCACACATCTGCACATGCCTTGGTGCTCATAACAAAATTTATTCTGTACATGGATGGAAAAGCTTAGAGAGAACACTACATACATGATGAAATCTTCTTCTTGTAGGGTTGGTAGGAGGGATCCTATGGATCAGCATGATGTTCAGTGTTGTCTTGGAAATACTCCTTCAGTTGGAGGTGGTGAAAATAGGCTACTAGATCACCACAGAATTATATCATGTTTGTGGGGGTGGTAGGGTAGAAAGAGAGTCCCTGAGATAGAACAGGCTCTTCTGCCAGGCTAAGTGTGTGATTGGATAGAAACTGAGGAACCACATAATTAGTATCCTATACAACAAACAGAAGAAAATCAAGAAGGAGTTCTCAAAACTAGAGACTCTGATTTAAAAAAAAAAAAAAACGCTTCCACACACACTTCCACATAGCTGGACTTTACAAAACTAGACAAGTCACTTACAACTGTCACCTCACTACCAAAGAAAAAGGACAGCAAACTATCTGAAGACACAGGGTACTACAACTCTGGTACCCTCAACTCACCTAACAACATTATTAATCTAACCAACCACAGACTTAGCCCGGCAAAGTCTGCCCTATCTCAGGACACTGAAC